ACACGCCTAACCCTACACAATATTGAATCCACAACAATAACTATACATATACCTCGCAGAAGAATCTTTAGGAAGATAACCAGATAATACAGATATGTAATAGGTTTACCGATCTAGCTAACACATAGTCATCACAGGGGGATGACCAAGCCGGAAGAGGAGCCCGACCAAATCTACCAATAAATCTGGAAAAACAGAACTGCTCACCGACAAAAAAAAAAAAAGAAAAAAAAAGATCACAGCATAACCGATTAGTTAAAAGCAGTGGATACAATCCTTAACCACTTTTCCGCTTTTAAAGCCCAAATCGGCTGATAATCATCTAAGACATAAATAAAAGAATTGTGAAACATTTGCAAAAAAACAAAAATCTTTCTGACTGAATAAAAAAATTATGGCATGATAAAATATATGGCTCCACCTCTCCAGAAAATCTTCCGCCTGTCCGACTGCAAAATAGAAGCAACATTTCACAACTAAACTATAACACTTAAAAATTATGTCAACAACAAATTCTTTGGTGATTCACTTTTCTCTTGCAAATATCTCTCGCCTCACTCTGCAGTTTTCCGTTTAACAAGAGTATTAAATTGCAGCTACTCTCCCGCCCAAATTGCTTTAACTTTTCTCCACCAATCCTTCCTTCCTTCCTTCACACCGAACATAAGACCACCAACTAATTTATACAACTGACAATTCCATTTTTTAAAAAACCTGACAAGTTTACAGTTGATCAACCATAAATTTTAACTTCCAATATGAACACTGTTTGTTTGTTTGATTAAAATATTTCTCAACTTCTTTTTAACTATATTTTTCATGTCTCGCACTTCCTTAAACTATTCTGTTTCAAAAATTTATCTTCACTCTCTTAAAAGTGCTCAATGAAACACCACTGTCACATTTCAATTTCCGCTTTTTTAAAGAAAAAACACAGTACCCTTGCCGCAACTGAAGATGCAGAAAAATGAGGCACCAGCCTAAAAGCTTCAAACTTGACTTGTTATTTGAAGACGTGCTTTTTTGAATTAGAGTATCTATGGCCCATAACAATATGAAATAAAGCAATCAAGTACTACTTTAGACGATGCTGATGCCGCTGGCAATGACAGCTGTTGAAAATGGCTCGTATTCTCTACTTCTCTTTTCTTCTTCTCTTCCGCTCTCTCTCCTTCTTCGAAACTCAAAGTGCCTTCCAAAAATAGTAAGGTGCTGTAAGACTTTCGCCACGAAAGCGGATAGGTTTGAAGGAAATGGAAAAAAGACTGCAACTCAAGTACTCCCTGGCTGAACAATTTGAAGTCGTTTTTTTTAGTTTCCTTAGAACATTTTGAATTTTTTTCTTTTTACAAAATAAGAATTTTAGTGTACTGCACGTCAAACCGTGAACTGCTTTCATACTTCAAAAAATTCAAAAAACGAAAAAAGTAATGCTCAATAATGAAGAAAAAAGAACTATTTTGATAAGATGACGAAATACTGAGAAAAAAGTGAACGGTGAACAGAGGAACCCCAAACAAACGTCAATTTCCTTCTCGCATCATTTCAGCAGTGTCTGTTGCCGCCAAAAAAAAGTACAATGCAACATCAATTTACAGTCATAAAATACCGCAAAAAAGAAGATTGTACTAGTCAAAAAGAACGACTAATTCTATCAAAAAATAATTGGAAATGATCAAAGTTTTCTACCACTCTACCTATTTTTGACGAAAGTAAAGTTGACTTAATATGTATAAAAAACGAGAAGAAGAGAGCAACTGGCCAAAGATTCGCTGAAAAAAAAAAAAAAATCGGAGTAAACAAGAGCAATAGATACTGTGTGCAAACAACAATCCAAAATTTGCTTGGTAGTAAAGCCACAAATAGCCAGAACTTAAATTATCAACTTCAGCTTTGAAATCAACATCAGAAGAATAAGCATTATTTAGAGCTCAGTATCCAAAGAACCAGAAGTAGCGTACTTTTTAAAATGTAGTTTTGGGCCTATACGTCGCCTGAAATTATGCCCTCAAATTTCCAGTCGTTCCCACCTCCCTTTTATTTCTGTACTGATTCTTTTGCCCTAACACCTACCAAGTTAAAAAAACCGAAAATATTATACCAAAAGGCTCAGCTAATAGTTTAGAGTTGTTTTGCCAGTGAGAATTTTGCCCAGCATCGACTACAACAAAAAATAAAGAAAAAAAAAACCAAAAATTCTGTAGGCAATCAGCCACGTGACAGTTGCGATTCTCCCAAAGTCACGATCTAAAAGAATCTTACTCTTGTAAAACCATTCACGAAAAAACATCTTTCCTTCTGAATTGCTAAAATTATAAGATAAAATCTTCAGCTACTCGAATTCACCAATTACTTATACTTAAAAAATAAATCAAAAGACAGCTGCAGAAGTCCCTTAAAAAGTTTTTCATCGATGCGCATGTCAATATTCGCCAACAAATACAATATTGCCCATTACCAAGTTTCGTGCAGAGATAACTATAACAGAAGAATTAAAGCCAGAACAGAATGAAAAGTGTGTATTCACTTCCAAAACTGAATACGCTCTTCTATTCCTTACAGAATACCTTGCAAGGATTCCCCTTCTGAATAACGTTTCTTTGGTGTTCCAGAAGAAATTGCGAAAAAAGACTGTATAAAATTTAGGAAAAGCAGAAATTTCTTGGCTGCTAGAAGAAATCAACAAACTGAAGACGACTGCAGTATACAGAAACAGCAGCAAAACATCAGCCAAAATTAAAACGTCGGCAAGTTAAGAACTGTCTCAGTCACACGACCAGACACCCTATTTAGAAATTTCCAGCAAAATGAACAGTGGGCGCTATAAAAATGCTACAGCTTCATCAAGCCAGTAACAATGACGTCAACTCGTTGCCAAAAAGAAGACGAAAATAAAAAAAGTAAATTCTGCCACAAATATACAATTGTGCCAAATTTCTCTACTCCACTAATTTTTTCAGTAAAGAAAAATGCCTATTTACTTCTCAAAATTTTTGCAAGGTGACTTACTGATTATTGAAATGTGTTTGTTTCGGGCCGTGGTTGTTCAGTTCGAAATCAACTGTAAAAAACTTGCGTTTCTTTTAATTCGTAATTCACGACAACCGAAGCCGACTTTACTTCAGTAGCTAACTTAATACCGCATTTCCTTTTATGTAAACCAAATTCAGTTCACATGTACAAGCATTTCTACGTACGTCCGTTAAGACTGCTTCAGCAACAGATACCAAACTCTGTATATGCTTATATTAACTGAAAACCAAGTAGCATTTGTCTAATGAGAAAAAAAGCAACAAGAATAAGAAATAAACGGAACAGGAAAAAAGCGTCTTTTCCATTAAAAAAGAAAAACGACCAGCAATAAATTCAACGACTGCATAACCATTAAACAGAACCCGACTGGGCGAAGAAAAGATTTGCTGGTAGCAAACGTTGTTTACATCTTTAGCAATTGGCAACTTTCCAAATCCAGGCATACTAAGACCCTTCTGTCTGTAGAAACTTCCAATCATCACTTTAATCCGGCTACAACTGTCCACAGTACTTTGGCAACATCACAACAGAAAACGTTTTTTTTACACACCTTTGTAACCAACTAATGAATTTACACTCCAAAAAACTGCTGATAGAAATGTTCCAGATGTAAACTATGACCAGAATGTTACCATTGGTTAAAACGATGTGGTCCAGCTAGAATTTCTTTACTTGATGAATGCACAGACAATAAATTGTCAGGTGAAAGTTCACGAAAAAAACGCTTTTTCGTCGTCATTTTACAAAAAATGACCTCATTCCCCCAATTCCTTAAAACAAATTTAGTAAAGAAAATTCAAAGAAAAAGACTCTAAGCATTCTCTCATTGATAGAAGTACCGTATGCAATTCATCACCTATAAAAATGCTAGAGCTGTTTTCACTCAATTGTTTGACAGCGAGAACGGTGTGCACGAAATCTGACAACTCAATTACAGTACTTCTGCACGCTGTGAGCTTCAATAGGAAACTGCTTTGAAATCCAATAAACGTTTCGAGAGCTGTGGGAAAGGACGATTAATAACCCTGCTGTCCAATTATCATTTTTGATCATACAACATCAGATAATATTTTTTGAGGCATTTACGGGTGAAATGAAACAGTCCCTAAAACAGTTCTTCCAAATTTGTTCGCATAAGTGAACAAAATATAGAGCACAGAAGGACATCAAGAAGCGGTATAGAAGCGATAGGTAATTTTTGTAACCGAAGAAAAGGTCTAGTTAACTACAGAACGGTTTTTGAGTTTTGAACTATTTTTCGGGAGACTTATATCAGCGAATCAGAAAAATTGAGAGTTTTACAATATACAGTTCAAAAATGGGTATTCAAAATTTCAAAATGTCATAATTGCTGAAAAATTTAAGTTGCTTTTGCCATTTGCAAAGGTTAATATGCTGCTGGCTTATTTGTTGGCCACAAAATTTACTGCAGATCTGCTTTCGATTGCTTCTCCATTTCCGTCTTTGGTTTCATAGAGTAATAAGTCATAACTCGGGATGGTGATTCTCACAGCGGGCGATACTGTGCCGTTGAGAACGATGGAAGATGTTCTGGGCGAGCAGAGGGCGATGTGGTGGTTGAACGCTGAAGATATCAGGTTGGTTTTGTTGTGAGTCTCCTTTTTTTCTCGTTTTTTTTT